CATGACAACCTCAAACTATGATGGAGGCACCCGTACGACCCTCAGACAAGATCATGGCTGAAGATGAAATAGGGAATATTGTTAAGGGAAAATGTGGTGATGAACGAGAGAAGTATACAAATGAATGGGGGGGGAGTAAAAAAATCAGTGCATGCCGAGTTATAGACATGATATAATTATCTGATAAAAACGATAAACTCAGACAGAGCCAAAGTTTGTGGGAATGGTGGATAGGAATTTGCATGAAATGAATGTGATATACTCCATTAGTACCATGAACTGTAAAACACTCTCTTCGTATCAAGCGAAAATGTGGATGGGACGAAATCAATCAAACGATCGATGAAAGTGACCAAGATCATTTTTATAAACAACATTTAGGACTTTATGTACCACTTCGTGAATTCGATTAGTTGCAATGTGTCGAAAAACTCATCTGTGTGTCGTTTCAGCCGCCCGATTCGATGACAGCATAAATAATTCAATAAACACGACAAACCGCACTTCTATTAGCAAATAATCAACGATTTTCAACCAACAAAAAAATGAGAGTTGAAAATTGGCTATGCGATTGGAATCGTACGACCTTGTCCTACATGATTTCCTAAATAGAATATTTATTTGTGTTGTGCCGCGCTTCGACTGCCAGAGTACATACCTTGGGGTGCCCCACGTGTTCTAAAGCAAACAAGAGGGCGTCGGCCAGTTTTGTTCAGTACGAAAACTCATTTGCTTCGTGTCGTTTACCGCTAGGTTTAGGTGTGATCTTTCAACATACGAATATCAACACCAACATACAGGCATAAGAACATTAGATGAGTAAACTGATTAATAGGTCCACTTAAAACAATGCGGGCAAAATCTTCTGGATCGCACTGCACACGCTTATCTTTTAATGTGATTAGTATAGGTCACGTAGTCTGCGTGATCGATCCGGTCACGGTAGCCGGATAAACTAAACTAGGCTTTAACAATTCACAGTGCAAATGGCCAACCTGGTCCACATGTACGGCGTAAAAATTAAACGAAAAAGCTGAAGGTTGGTTTAAAAACGATTATTTAGTGACAAGTTGATTCACCGATCTACATGATTTTCCTTTTTAGCATCAAACCAGTTATTCTGATTTTCGCTACAGATTATATATATATATATATATATATATATATATATTGGTTTAGGGACAGGCATGATGCCAGCGTAATAAAATTGAAACTAAAAATGGTAAGAGTTTGAGTACTGAAGGAAGAATTAAAGGACAGTTGTTTACAACGAGAACACCAATGTTTTGATTTTCACACATTTGATGCTTTTGTCAATTTTGTATTTATTTTTCCTTTACAAAGCGCGAGATTGCATCAGCACTTCCACAACTGATTCTCATTCAATATCACATTTCTTGACATCTCTGTCCAACGAAAAATTTTGTTCCCTTTACTCCCAGCCTCGAGGATGAGATGCACCATCAGAAGCTAACTTCTTCATACCCCAACACCAGGTCATGGACTGGCCACAGTATCCCTTCTTCCAGTCTTG